CTTAACCCGTAAGATATTAAACAGGCAGATATATATAATATATATTACTTTGATTCACATGGGTGAGGTTCAGTTCGCTGGATTAATATTCCTACTGTTTTGGGTAATATTATTATATATAGGATGTGCTGTTAGGATATTTACGGTCACCATGTGCGTTAGTTTGATGATGTCCCCGGAGTGAGTTCATGAAGGATTGTTATGCTAAACCCTGCAGGTGGATTAAATTCCGGCATAATAAGAATGTGATGAACGAGCGCTAGCTTCGGTGAAATAATAATAAATTAATTAATTCTTGATTGTCAGTAATCGAATTAATTAATGGACATTATATCTTAAACGTGGGGAGGTAAATCGAGTAATTATTATTGGAGTCTCAAATGTAATTTGGGCTAGGGAAAGGGAGTGCAATAATATAATGTTGGTGGCCCATTAATATTATTTAATTAATTAGAGGAGTGGGTTTGGCCCACAGTTAGTCTAATTAATTAAGGAGCCCTTTTCCTAATCTCCTTAGGGTCCCTACTGTAGCTCTATATATACATCATTAAGCTCATGAGAAGAGAATAGAAGTCTCATTCTCACGTGAAACCATCTCTCTCTCTAGATCTCATTCGAGCTTTATCTTCTTCTTGTTGCTCCACTGGTACAAGTTGAAGAAGGGTGTATTGAGTAATACAGTAGAAGATCTGTAGGTAAACCGAGACGAAATTGATTTTGACCTACAGAACTAACCGGAAGTCCGATTGAGACGTACAGTATACCCAGACGACCGTCTCGACGAGAGCTTTCCATCGCCGCCGACGTCGCCGGAATCCGACGCCGCACGCGCCCTCACGCGCCGCCGGAAGGTGTCTGGCAGCAAAATTTCGTTTTGATCTGTTTGCATCCGTTTGATCCAGTTTTGATCTGATCTTGTTCGTGCAACCCAAGACGCGTGTTGCGGTCAATCAATTGCGGTCAACCGTTCGTGGTCAACCAGATCTACATAAATTTTAAGCCGTAAGTTCTCTACGTCAAACCTTTAGATCCGCTGCGCATAGGTTTACGTTTGCTATTGAATTCGTGATTTGTACATAACGAGATCCTCACAGATCCCAACAAGTGGTATCAGAGCACTTGGTTAATTCGTTTTGTACAAAGTTCGAATTTTTACGGCTTTATTTGACAAGATGTGTTCAAACGCAGCCATATATTGGATTATATTTGCATAACTCGGTTTTGCAGGAAAATAGTTAATCCACTATTATGGCCGATTATGTGTTTGATGAATGTTGTTGAATGTGATGTATGGTTTTAAATTTGTTTTTAAAGCCTCGGGCATGTCGAGGAATTTATGGATGAATGTTTGTAATAATTATTCGCCCGGGGGTTGACCGGATAGATTTAATTATTTGTTTAGAAAACATGTACATCCATTCGTTGGATCTAGGATCGAATTATGTAATTTTGTAAATTATATTTTTCGTGTTGTGATCGTGTGTTGATAACCGGGAGATCACAAGAGATCAACGAGCCTCGAAGAATTAAAAAAAAAAAAAAAAGGCGAAACGGCGCGTTTTTCCGATCACTGGCGGCGGCAGCCAGGCAGCAGTCGCCGGTTGGCTGCAGGAGGTGGAGAGGTTTTGCCTTCTTGTCCGAGCAGTACAAGATCAACCAGGATTCTACTGCTTAAAGGAGTTCCAGTTGAACAGGGAAAAGAACTGTCACAGTTTCCTTGTTTAAGGAGACTCAATATTTAATGGCCATAATAGTGGATTTATTTATTTATTTAATTAAATTTATTATGCCATTAAATTATTATTTATGCATGTTAATTAATTATGTTCTTGCATGGGATTAATTTAGTATTGCAAGATTAATTATGCATGTTAATTAATTATGTGATGCATAGGATTAATTTAGAATTGTGTCAATAAATTATGCATGTAATTAATTATGTTCTGGCATGGATTAATTTAGAATTGCATAAATTATTGAACATGTTAATTAATTATTGCATTGACATAGATTAATTTAGAATTGCATGAATTAATATGCATGTTAATTAATTATTGCATTAACATAGATTAATTTGGAATTGTATAAATAGTTAAAAATCCTCATTAAATTATACTAAGTTTGAGAAGGGATTTTAAATTAAAGTTAATTGTAAAATTCCTAAGGCCTCCATTTCTAATTTGTCGGTAAATCAATTAATTGCGGCAATGGGCTCCCCCACGGGTGACATTGCTAAAATTGGTTGTAGGAAATTACCAGGACAAATTTCTAAAATTAGACGGTTAGAGGGAATCTTAAGAGAACGCACGGGCCTCCCCACGGGGGACGTGTAATCAATTTTGACAACCTCAGAATCGAGAAATGGGATTCACTTAGAATGCGACTTATCTATAAACTCCCCACGGGGTCCCTGGATTTATTGCATGGCCAAATGGAGACCGACTATTAATTTCGTTAGTCATGAATGTGGTTTTGACTTATGGAAATTAATGGGCCCTTGAAAAGTCCTTCTCTTACAAAATGCGAGTTTGTAGGGCGACCCACGTAGCATACATTCTCACGAGGTGTAATAGATGTCGGTGAATTTAAGTTAATATTGTTTTGAGGATCTCAATATTGACAGTTAAATTCAAAAGTGTTTAATCTGTAAAATTTATTTGCATGATTCTCAGGATATTCATCATGTCGTTCAATCCGTTGTCTGTCATTCTAAAAGAAAATCAGCTTACTGGTCCTAATTACATTGATTGGAAGAGGAACTTAGACATAGTGTTGACTGCTGAGGGTTATAAGTTTGCTATCACTGATGCTTGCCCGGCGGTGCCGGCGGCTGATGCTCCTGAGCAGGAGAAAGAGGAGTATGCTCGGTGGAAGAAGGCTGATGAGATGGCGAAGTGTTACATTCTGGCTTCTATGTCGAATGTTCTTCAACATCAGCATCAGTCTAAGGACACTGCAGCAGATATACTTCTCAATCTCAGGGATCTGTTCGGACATCAGTCTAGGGCTGCTAGGCAAGAGGCTTTGAGTGCTCTGATGAGTACGCGCATGGCCGAGGGCACACCCGTAAGGGAGCACGCTCTCAGGGTTATGGCGCAGCTCAATGAGCTTGAGGTTATGGGAGGTTATATTGACGGGGAAACCCAGGTTGATATTATGCTCCAATCTCTGCCGAAGAGCTTTGATCAGTTCCGGTTGAACTACAACATGCACAAGATGCATATGGCTCTTCCAGAACTGCTTGCAGAGCTTCAGTCGGCGGAGGCCTTATTCACTCAAGCACCTCAGGTGCTAGTCGCCGAGCAGGCTGGACCTTCCAGGCCTCACAAGGGCAGGAAGAGAAAGAAGTCTGCAGGAAAGGCGAAGGCACAGGATGCTCCGGTTTACCCACGACCGACCCCTCAGGCTGTGGCAAAGAAACCGAAAGGAAGATGCCACAAGTGCAATAAGTCAGGACACTGGAAGGTCGATTGCCCTCTCCTCAAGAAAGGTAACTCTCTCGTTAATGTCGTAGAAACATGTTTAGCGGTTGTATCTACCAGAACCTGGTGTGTAGATACTGGAGCCACTGATCATGTCTGCAATTCTTTGCAGGGGTTCCAGGAAACCAAGCGACTTAGGGAGGGAGAGATCACCGTCTACATGGGCAATGCTACGAAAGTGGCGGCTGTTGCAGTGGGAGACGTTACTTTATCGTTCGATAGTAGTAGTTTGGTTTTGAGAAATTGCCTTTATGTTCCTAGTTTTAGAAAGAACCTTGTTTCAGTTTCTAAACTCGTTATGGATGGTTTTTCAGTTTCGTTTGATGACATGGTTATTATTCGTTTTGAAAATCGTTTCATATGTTGTGGTTCATTAGTTGGCAATTTATATGTTCTCAAACCGAACTCTCCCACAGTGCAACATAATGAATTGAATAATGTCATAACTACATCTAATAAGAGGAAGGAGTCTTCGCAGATGAATCAAGCATATCTGTGGCACCTTAGACTTGGACACATCAACCTTAGGAGGATTCAAAAGTTAGTGGCCAGTGGACATCTCGGTCCATTGGAAGAGCACTATCCAACTTGCGAATCATGCCTAGAAGGTAAGATGGCCAAGAGGCCGTTTACGGCAAAGGGGTATAGGAGCCAAGAAGTGCTAGGATTGATTCATTCTGATTTGTGTGGTCCTATGTCGATCCAGGCTAGAGGAGGTTTCGAGTACTATGTGTCTTTCATAGATGATTACTCGAGATTTGGGTACGTTTATCTGTTGCACCGCAAGTCCGAATGCTTTGAGAAATTCAAGGAGTATCGGGCAGTTGTGGAGAAGCTTCATGGTAAATGTATCAAGTCACTTCGTTCTGATCGAGGTGGCGAATACCTTTTTGGAGAGTTCAGGACATACTTATCGGAAGCTGGGATTGAATCCCAACTGACTGCACCCGGCACGCCCCAGCAGAATGGGGTTGCAGAGCGAAGAAATAGGACTCTTATGGAGATGGTTAGGTCTATGATGAGTTATTCGAGGTTACCAGATTCGTTCTGGGGTTTGGCATTGGAAACGGCATCGTATATTCTGAACATGGTTCCGTCGAAGTCAGTTGACACTACCCCTTATGAGATGTGGAAAGGGCGCAAGCCCAGTTTCTCACAGTTTCGAGTTTGGGGTAGTCCTGCACACGTGTTAGTGCAGGAACCTGGCAAGTTGGAGAAACGTTCGGAAGCACGAGTTTTCGTAGGCTATCCCAAGGGAACGAAAGGTGGATTATTTTATAGTCCCGAGGATCAGAAGGTGATCGTTTCGACGAACGCTAGATTCTTGGAAGAAGACTATATTATGAATCATAAGCCCGCGAGTAGACTAGTCTTAGAGGAGTTAAGGGGTGAAATCGATGGTTCCCCACCGAGTGCGCAAGTAGATACATCACATAATACTGCAACACGACACACTGAGAGTGTACCAGTGCAGACAGTGCCTCGTCGCAGTGGGAGGGTTTCTCATTTACCCGACCGATGGATAGGTCTTGGAGAGTCGTCAGACTCAGTTCCAGGAGGCCTAGAATCGGACCCAAGAACTTACGATGAGGCACTCCAAGATAAAGATGCAGATTCATGGAATGTTGCAATGAAAGCTGAAATGGGGTCAATGGACTCCAATCAGGTCTGGGATCTTGTAGAACTACCCGATGGGGTACGACCCATTGGATGTAAGTGGATCTATAAGAGAAAGAGAGGATTGGATGGGAAGGTGCAAACCTTTAAAGCTAGGCTTGTTGCGAAAGGTTATACCCAGATCGAGGGTATTGATTATGATGAGACCTTTTCGCCAGTAGCTATGCTTAAGTCCATTCGGATTCTCTTGGCTGTAGCCGCTCATATGGACTATGAGGTCTGGCAGATGGATGTCAAGACAGCTTTCCTTAATGGGAACCTGCAAGAAGACATCTATATGCAGCAACCAGAGGGATTCATTGCTGAAGGTCGTGAGCATCTAGTGTGTAAGCTTAATCGGTCTATTTATGGACTGAAGCAAGCTTCGAGATCTTGGAACATCCGTTTTGATGAGGTGATCCAGTCGTACGGGTTCACTCAATGTCCGGATGAGCATTGTGTTTACAAGAAAATCAGTGGGAGCGTGGTGGTGTTTCTTGTGCTTTACGTAGATGACATACTGCTTATTGGAAACAGTAAGAAGGAGTTATCAGACGTAAAGGTGTGGTTGTCTAAGCAGTTTGATATGAAGGACTTAGGTGAAGCAGGACACATTCTTGGTATTAGGCTCATTAGAGATCGTAAGAAGAGAATGTTGTGCTTATCCCAGTCTTCATACATAGATACTGTCTTGGCCAGATTTAGCATGCAGGATTCCAAGAAAGGTATGTTACCTTTTAGACATGGAATACCTTTATCTAAGGAGATGTCTCCTAAGACGTCTAAGGAGATAGAGGAGATGAAGACAGTTCCTTATGCTTCGGCAGTAGGAAGTCTCATGTATGCAATGCTATGCACAAGGCCGGATATTAGCTACGCCGTTGGCATGGTAGCTAGATATCAAAGTAATCCAGGACGGGAACATTGGTCTGCGGTGAAGCATATACTCAAGTACCTGAGAAGGACTAAGGAGTACATGTTAGTTTACCGTGCAGACAGCTTGTTACCTCTGGGTTACAGTGATTCTGATTTCCAGTCAGATAGGGATGAAAGTAAGTCAACCTCAGGTTATGTGTTTACCTTGGGAAGTGGAGCCATTTCATGGAGGAGTGCTAAGCAGAAATGCGTGGCAGACTCCACCATGGAAGCCGAGTACATAGCAGCCTCAGAGGCAGCGAAAGAGGCAGTTTGGCTCAGGAACTTCTTAGTGGACTTAGAGGTTATACCGAGTTTGCCACGTGGTATCACCGTGTACTGTGATAACAGTGGAGCAGTAGCGAACTCAAAAGAACCTCGAGCCCACAGGGCAAGCAAACACATAGAGCGCAAATACCATCTGATTCGGGATATCGTTGGTAGAGGAGACGTTGATGTTGCCAAGATTGCATCAGAGGATGCATGGCGATAGGATCGACATAGGTCTTTTAGAATAACGGATTGATAGGACTATACTGTAAAAGCGAAAGCTTTAAGTATAAGTGGGAGATTGTTAGTGTTATATACTGAAAGCTTGGCTTTGCATGTTATTACACATTTACCCTTTATGAATGAGAATCATGTTAGATTAAACAAGTTCTACGTTCTGTTGTTCTGCACTTAGATAGGGTGGGTCGTCATCGGGCGAACCGAAGATCACTCTGTCAGTCACTTGCGAACAAGAATAGTTGTTCACAACCTAGATGGACATGAACACCCCATCCGAACGGTTGTAGTGTCAACTGTACAGTTTGTCTTGACTGATTAGTTGCACTAGTACATTTATGTATTGAACAGGATCCCAGAGAGGAGAAGTTCATTTTATACTGATCGTCGTAAATGAACTAGGCCTCGGTTAATTACTGCGTTCTCTTAACCCGTAAGATATTAAACAGGCAGATATATATAATATATATTACTTTGATTCACATGGGTGAGGTTCAGTTCGCTGGATTAATATTCCTACTGTTTTGGGTAATATTATTATATATAGGATGTGCTGTTAGGATATTTACGGTCACCATGTGCGTTAGTTTGATGATGTCCCCGGAGTGAGTTCATGAAGGATTGTTATGCTAAACCCTGCAGGTGGATTAAATTCCGGCATAATAAGAATGTGATGAACGAGCGCTAGCTTCGGTGAAATAATAATAAATTAATTAATTCTTGATTGTCAGTAATCGAATTAATTAATGGACATTATATCTTAAACGTGGGGAGGTAAATCGAGTAATTATTATTGGAGTCTCAAATGTAATTTGGGCTAGGGAAAGGGAGTGCAATAATATAATGTTGGTGGCCCATTAATATTATTTAATTAATTAGAGGAGTGGGTTTGGCCCACAGTTAGTCTAATTAATTAAGGAGCCCTTTTCCTAATCTCCTTAGGGTCCCTACTGTAGCTCTATATATACATCATTAAGCTCATGAGAAGAGAATAGAAGTCTCATTCTCACGTGAAACCATCTCTCTCTCTAGATCTCATTCGAGCTTTATCTTCTTCTTGTTGCTCCACTGGTACAAGTTGAAGAAGGGTGTATTGAGTAATACAGTAGAAGATCTGTAGGTAAACCGAGACGAAATTGATTTTGACCTACAGAACTAACCGGAAGTCCGATTGAGACGTACAGTATACCCAGACGACCGTCTCGACGAGAGCTTTCCATCGCCGCCGACGTCGCCGGAATCCGACGCCGCACGCGCCCTCACGCGCCGCCGGAAGGTGTCTGGCAGCAAAATTTCGTTTTGATCTGTTTGCATCCGTTTGATCCAGTTTTGATCTGATCTTGTTCGTGCAACCCAAGACGCGTGTTGCGGTCAATCAATTGCGGTCAACCGTTCGTGGTCAACCAGATCTACATAAATTTTAAGCCGTAAGTTCTCTACGTCAAACCTTTAGATCCGCTGCGCATAGGTTTACGTTTGCTATTGAATTCGTGATTTGTACATAACGAGATCCTCACAGATCCCAACAGGAAGGGTGGGAAATCATATCACTACAATGCACTTAGAAGGTAGTGTTCTAAGCGAGGCCATGGAAGTTGACGAGAAGGATGATTGGAGGAAGTTGATTCGCGAACTCTTGCAGGGTCGAGTCCCTACAGGAGACAAGCAAGAGGCGGAAAAGACGGCTCGATATTTAAGCAAGTATTTCGAAGTCGACGGGATCCTATATAAGAAGTCGCTAGTCGGGCCTCATTTGCGGTGTGTTTCCGAAGAAGAAGGAATTCATGTTCTAAAAGAAATCCATGAAGAATGTTGCGGAGCGCATGTGGGATCTCGAGCCCTAACGGGTAAAGCACCCCGAGCAGGGTATTATTGGCCTAAGATGCGGACGATGACAGAAAAACTTGTGGGAGAATGCGATAAATGCCAACGACACGACCAAGTTACCCTATTCCAGCCGAGTACATGACGACAATCAGCTCCCCAATTCCCTTTACCCAATGGGGAATCGACTTGGTGGGCCCGTTGCCGATGGGTACGGGACAAAAAAAATTCCTAGTAGTCGCAGTCGACTATTTTAGCAAGTGGGTCGAAGCGGAACCCTTGGATCGAATTACTGAAGAAAAGATAATACAAATCTTATTCAACAATATCTGCTGTCGATTTGGAATCCCAAAGGTGTTAATCTCAGACAACGGGACGCAATTCCAAGGAAAACGGATCCAAGCATGGTGTCTCGACATGGGAATTAAGCAACGATTTGCATAGTCGCACACCCACAAGCAAACGGGCAAGTCGAGGTAACCAATCGAACTATTCTCGAAGGGTTGAAGAAAAGACTGGAGAAAGCGTCGGGAGCCTGGGTCGACGAGTTGACGACAGTCCTATGGGCTTATAGGACAACTCCAAGGAGCTCGACGGGACAATCTCCGTTTCACATGGTTTATAGGATGGATGCACTACTGCCGGTAGAAGTCGGCCTGGACTCCCACAGATCGACGTTCTACGAGAAAAAGAAAAACGAAGAGATGAACGAAGAGGCTGTCGACCTAATTGAAGAAGGCTGAGAGGAAGCCTGGGTGTGATCCGTCGAATACAAACAAAAGATACGAGCAGCCTTCGACAAGAAGGTCCGAACCAGGCGTTTTCAAGTTGGGGATCTCGTCCTCAAGCGAGGCGACGCTCTCAAACATGTCGGTAAACTCGAAGCTAACTGGGAAGGACCCTATACCATCACAAAGGTGCTCGAGAGGGGTGCATACGAACTCGAGGACGGAGAAGGTCGACAACTCACGCGATCCTGACACGTGATCCATCTCAAACGCTTTTACGCTTAAGGCAATGTTTCAAACTACTTTTTGTATTAAACGATGTTTGAATTGAATTCAATGATGAAATGAATCTCAAAGTTCACGCTTCAATTATGTTTCTTATGTTTATGTGTCGACTTTATTATGATTGCATGAAAAATTGAATTTTTCAAAATAGCTATAAAGCCGACTAACTCTCCAATGATTATGAAATCAACTGACACAACTACAAAGTTGTAAACTCTCGAGCGGAATCTCGAGCAGACTACGAAGTCGACTAACACAACTACGAAGTCGACTAACACAAATACGAAGTTGTAAACTATCGAGTGGAATCTCGAGCAGGCTACGAAGTCTTCGACTACGAAGTCGACTAACACAACTACGAAGTTGTAAACTCTCGAGCGGAATCTCGAGCAGACTACGAAGCCTTCGACTACGAAGTCGACTAACACAACTACGAAGTTGTAAACTCTCGAGCGGAATCTCGAGCAGGCTACGAAGCCTTCGACTACGAAGTCGACTAACACAACTACGAAGTTGTAAACTCTCGAGCGAAATCTCGAGCAGGCTACGAAGCCTTCGACTACGAAGTCGACTAACACAACTACGAAGTTGTAAAATCTCGAGCGGAATCT